GCCGGGTCCCCCTGGTCGGCTGGAGACGGTCTCCAGCAGACCAGGGGCACCGGAGCAGCTTACGAACGGGGCTTTCTCGCCCCGACCTCCGGGGCGAGAAAGCCCCGTTCGTAAGTCGGATCCGCGTAAGTCGGGGACTGCCTGTACATTAATGAGTGCTCGGGCAAGTTAAAATATTCTCCAACAGGTTTCTGTGTTTTGCCTTTTTGGGTATCTGATCTGTGTCCATTAATTCTTTTCCGTAGAGACTTTCCTGTTTGGCCAGTATACATGGCAGAGGGACACTGCTGGCATTTGATAGCATAGATCACATTAGTGGATATGCAGTTAAATGAGCCTCTGATGTGTTGGCTGCTGTGGTTGGATCCATTAATGAAATCGCTTGTGCAGATGTGTGGACAGAGTGGGCACCAAGGTGATTGCAGGGGGGTGGGTTCCTGGATGATTATGATGGAGGTGTGTTGCATGGTTGCTGGAAAGAATTTGTCTGAGGTTAGGGGGTTGTCTGTAGGCAAGGATTGGCTTATACCCCAAGGCCTGTGAGAGTGAGGGGTCATTTACCAGGATAGGTGGTAGATTTTTGATCATGTGTTGGAGGGATTTAAGTTGTGGGCTGTCGGTGATGACAATGGGTGTTCTGTTGTTTTAATGGATCTCAAAGTCACTGTGTTGTTTCAGGCCAATTCCACAAGCCAAATACACAGGGAAGCCTTGGAACTTAACTTCATTTACAGGTTTGGGACCTATCACAAAGGTATGAACAAAGACATTACCTGGCTAGCACACTACCTTCCATGTCCTAATGACATAACAAACTAAACAATGGGTACTTAAGAACAATTTGCACTTTCTCTATCAGCTTCATGTTGCATAAACACTCTAATTGACTATTTCTTTCCCCCCCTTTTTCCTTCTCCTCCCCTCATCCCCTATTTATTTTGGAACTGGACCTTGATTAACTCCGTTCATCTGAAGAAGTGGGTTGTGCCCATGAAAGCTCATGATATCATCTACATGTTTTTTTAGTCTTTAAGGTGCTGCTAGACTATTCATTGTTTAAGTTTTTCCAGTTACAGACTAACACAGTTACCCCTCTGAAGCTAGTGCACCCTCAGTGGATGAAGAAGGTCATTGGCAATTTAGCTCTTTTAATAAAAGACAATTTTGAAAATTCTGTTTGGGAGCAGTTCCCTCTTTTAAGTAAAATTGTAATACAGGGCATATACAACTTATAACAAACTATTATAAGAGAACCTGTGAGGCTTCATGTTAATTTTTTACTTGAAAACTATCCAAAAATTTTTTAACTGGAGTAACAATGTACATTTTAAAAATGTATTAATTATGGGATTTAGATTCGGAAGTCATGATTCCGTCTAGTATTGATGAATACTGAGGAAAGGAATCCCATGTTGACAGTCACAACAGAAAGTGAAACTAAGTTTCAGAACTCCTTTTGAAACTGCTTATCCTTTTGTTGCATAAATATTTGTAATGACATGATTATTGAACCTTCAGTTATGGAACGCCTCAGCATGGCTCTACTCTCCAGTCATGGTGAGTATTGCCAGCGAGTGGCAATGGGTGTGCATCAGGATGTGGGGGCACTAACATTTTCAGTTGCTTTAAATAGCTGCCCATATATCCATGGGTTCAAGTGTAGGATTATGGCATTGAAACTTGGTACTGTTTTCCACAAGTGCAGTTGATTTTAGCTAATATCTCACTCCTGAAGGTCACAAAGACATAGAGAACATAGCTACTGCAGGTATCGCAAAGCTATCCACGCCCATATACTGCTAATCTGTTTACCACAATGTTACCTGTCAAACTAATTGCAGAATGGTATGGGAAAAGTGGCCTATCTTGGAGGAAGAAATAAGATGGTCATCTGTGGACCACCACCTTCTTGTTGTTTTTCACTTGACATGTTTTCCTTTTTAACCCAGGGAATAAATTTCTTCAAAAAATTCCCAGATAGGCGCTCTTTTACGCTCAGAAATTATGAGAGTGTGGGGGAATATAGAAAGGTGTGTCTGTCCTGAATGTCTTCCTTTTTTCTTTCCAATCCTATTCACTGTTCCTTTCTATGCTGCCTTTGTCCTTTCCTGTTGTCTGTGTCTCTGTCTTTAAGACGGTGTGGGGAACTTTTTTTGAGTTGGGGGCTGCTGACCCACGGAAAAATTAGTCAGGGGCCACACACAGGTAAGAAGACCCCCTCCCCCAAACAAACAAAAAAACAAACCCTCATTGATGTGGCCCCTGATTGAGAAGGAGAAAGACACTCCGCACATTCTCCTCCCCCACCAGAGTCTAGAGGGGAGGGCCAACGTGGTAGGATAGCGGGGGTGGGAGTGAGTCTGGAGCACCAGCGCAGGCTTCCCAGTGCTAGGGGGTAGCACCACTAGAACCTGTCCCCGGGCCCTAGGTTCCTCACCCCTGCTTTAAGACAGTGTCTGAACGAACTCCTCTGCTGTGGTTGGCCAAGGTCCACCACTACATAAGCACAGAAGAAAAACAGTCCTATCCAGTATGTGTCTGTCTTCTGCCCATTTTACTTTTTAGTCTGCCAAGAAACAGAAATTGAAAGCCCACAACTTTCAAGAAGCCAGAATGAGTAGTTAAGCTGGACGGACTAGAGCCATTAATTCAATTTTCTGAGACTGTAAGTGCATGTTTAGCATGTTTTGTCATGAGATTTAATTGTAACTTGTTTTTAAAAGAGAGTCAGTATTTTATTGGTTTAAAAATAGAAGATGTGATTTAAATCAAATCCAGTTTAAATTTAAAACTTTTTTTTTTGGTTTAAAAATAGAAGATGTGTTTTAAATCAAATCCAGTTTAAATTTAAAACTCTGATTTTTTTTAAATTTAATAAATTATTGATTTTTATCCACCCTGGGAATAATCTTTAAAACATTTTCAATATATTTGTTCCTCTCCATTCATCTAACAAACTTGTTGCACTATAGCATTTGAAGTACATATATCTTTATGCTGACTCCTTCAAGAAGCCATTTATAGAACCAAGTACAGTAAAATGTTTTAAGAAAGTTATTTCATATCTGGATTTGATTTTGTCAGTGAAGCTAATGTGGCCACTGAGGAGAGATTGAAATGCCACCTAGCTGATTAGCTGAATGCCCACAGCTAGGCTTTTTTTCCCGTTCATTTACTGGTGATGCATGTTCACATGTGACTTGGTGCAATTTTTTTTTCTATACAGTATAAGGCTGGAAAAAATCCTCACATAGATGAAAAAGATGAGGGAACATTGGATGGGAGGCAAAAACATGGGGATGGAAAATATTACTCATTTTCAAAAGTGAAGGGAAATTCCAGGATCTGTTAGTGACCTTTCCTGTTGCATTCATCAACAAAATACATTTAGCCTAAGGGGTGATTTGTGGATAGAGTTTGTGACTTCTTGAAGGTTAACAGAACTGGGAATAGATTGTGTTGGCTGAGGTTACAGACTGTTATGGTGTCTATAAGACCAGAGTTTCTCAATATGTGGCTTGCAACTCAAAGGTATATCACCATCCAAGCAAGACCAGGGCTGGCTAGACGTGGCTTCCCGT